ACAACTGTTCATCACAATGTAGTGTTCATTCATAGCCAGCGAGACGACAACATAGGGTTCATTTTGAATCCACGTAGTGTTCATTCTAAGACATCGTAGGGTTGACTTTCACACATTTGTTCATTATAAACGTAGTACTCATTCTGAAACAACCTAGTACTCATTCACAGTCTGCTCAGTGTAGTGTTCATTCTGAAATAAGGCGGTGCTCATTCTCAAACAAGGTGGTGCTCATTCTGAAGCATTTCATCTGACCGAAAGTGTCATCTGACTGGAGTCAACCCCAGTCAGATATATATATATATATATATATATATATATATATATATATATATATATATATATATATTGAAACACGGGCTTGTCACGTTTTCATACTAAAGCCGTGTTCGTTTTTGTAACAGGTTTTGATAATGCCAAACCGTCGTGATCAAGACAAACATTGAACATACAAGGCGAAGAACAAAGATAAAGAACAAGAGCTAAAAGAGACCAAGAACGAAGACCGCAGTCTTTAGTATTGTTGAGTCGGTCATAATTGTAATCAAGACCGACCCAACCCTCACGCATTGCCTCTTTAGGCTAAAATCTTTTATCACATCATAAAAATGTTTTTCAAACTTGTTTAAGTCATTAAAAACACTTGGTATTCGCCCAAACCATAAACCAAGCAATCCAGCGTTCGGGTTTCAGAAACCGGCGTTCGGCTCTCGGTTATCGGCTATGGTTTTTGGCGTCCGAACCAACTGAGTGGTTTTCAACTTTTTATGATTGGTTTTCACTCTTTGGCATGTTTAAACGGTTCTCCAACAAAAACACTTTGAAAACCATCCTTCGCTTTTGGTCGTTTGACAAAAATCATTCAAAACGGCATAAACTTGGCTAGCCGTGGTTTTCACTCAAATGACGTGGTTTTTAAAGTGTCTTACTTGATTTCTTAGCCAAATACATCAAATAAGTGTTTTAAACACTTGGTTTTTATTTTGGAGAACTATGAATTTTTCGGTCGGTTTTCGCATCGGTTGGCTAGGCCCTGGTTAAGGCAAAAACCATGGGTTCTTGACTAACCACCCACCCAGCGATGGGAAGATCTTCCCATCGATGGGTAAGCAGTCCCTAAGCCAAACCAACTTCCAGAACCATGCCAAACAGCGATGGGGAGTTCTACCCATCGCTGTTAAAGCCTTGGTGCAATATTAGCACAAGGCAGAACGACCCTGCCTAGCGATGGGAAACTTATCCCATCGATGGGAACCCAGCGATGGTAAGGATATACCATCCATGGGGAGCCATGACCGTTGGTGGTCATTAAAGGTTGATTCTTTCCTTGTTTGGAAGTCAACCTCCCACCCAGCGATGGGAAGCTTGTACCCATCGATGGGTAGGTGACCGTTGACTTCAAAAACTGAAGGAAAATTGGCTTACCAGCTATGGTTGAGTCTAAACATCGATGGGAAGCCAATATCCTGCAGATTCTCATTTAATCAACCCTTTAAATCAAGCCAATCACCCCTTTAATGCAATGGTCCGTTGGAGCCTATTTTTGCACTATAAAAAGGGATGTTTTGGTCTGCTTTTCACATCAATTCACTTCACAACATCTATACTTTCATTGCATTCAACTATCATCATTTTCCATAGCTTTCTAGAGCCATTTTGTGTGAAAGTTGAGTTGTTCTTGAGCGTACTTAGTTTACTCATAATCTACTCTATAAGAGAGTCTCGTTCTTGAGTATACTTGTGTTCTTAGACACGTTGAGAGATAGTATCTCTCTCGGTTCATTCAAAGGAAGGCCTGTTTCCTTTGAAGGATTCGTTGAGGTTCGTGTGACTCAAACTCTCAAGTTGTAACGGTTTGTTAAGCACCCGCAAGCTTAACAAGATAGTAGTATAGCTCAAGAGAGTCTCTCGGGAGGCTGGATTAGCCACAAGTTATGGTGAACCAGGGTAAAATTCGGTGTGCCTTTTACTCTTCTCTTTACTTCTCTTTTAATTTTTTAATTCCTGCGATTTCTCCGATCAAACGCTATTCACCCCCCCTCTAGCGTTGGTCTATTATTCTAACAATTGGTATCAGAGCCTAACTCGCGTCCAAACTTAACCGTTTGAGAGTAAAGCGATATGGGTTCTTCTTCTAGAAATCTTTATGCAGGAATTGGAGAAGGTCAATCAACCTCTAGGCCACCGCTTTTTGATGGCACCAACTACACATACTGGAAAGAACGGATGAGAATTTATATCCGCTCAACCAACTTTCAGTTGTGGTTGGTCATCAAGAATGGCAAGGAAATTCCAACGAAGAAGGTCGGTGAAAAACTCGTCCCAAAAACCAAGGACGAATTTGATGCCGAGGACATCAAAAAGGTGGAGAACTACGCCAAGGCAATCAACATGCTGTACTGTGCTGTCAATCCTGATGATTATCTGTTATACCCCTGGATGGCTCCACCAAAATCCCAACCCCTCCCAAATATCCAAAAGTATTTTATTTCCTTTTGATATCCAAAATAAAGTTTTTCCTACTCTTATTTTAGCCTAGAGCCAAAAATAAGAGTGTGTAAAATACAACCTTTTGTTTGTTGTTATTTTTCTTCTTTTAAGCCTTTTAATAAACAAATAAAACCTTCTCTCCCTTCCTCTAAATCCCTGGCAAAAACCACCACACCCTAAGTATCCAAACCAACCTTTAAAACACAACCCAACCCTCCTCTTCTGCCCTCACCTTTGGCCGAAATACCCAAACCCAAAACCCACACATTACCCCATCTTTTGAACCCACTTTAGATTAATTATCACAATCCCAATAATGGCCTAATCAACCAGCCTCCTTTTCCTTTGTTGTAGCCGAACACAATCACCCAAAAAACCTGCCCAAACCCATGTCACAACCCCCACACTTGTTCCCCATTATGCTCTCCATTATATGTAAGGAAACAAGCTGCAAACAAACAAGACATAGTGGCCCACCTTGGCAGCAATCCCACTCACCTTTGCATCTCCATAAACCACCTATTGCATCCCTCCAAAATAGCCAGCCCACTCACCCTTTGTACCCCCTGCCTGACGAAACAACTCACCTAAAAACCCCCAAAATAGCAGCCCACTCCACCACAATAATAACCCAACAACAGCCCCACAAGCCAGCCCCTATCTCTGATTTCCTCCCCCACCAAAGGACTCAAATAAGTGGTTATTATTCCTTTAATTTGTGTGAATAAGAGACTTGGTAGTCTCCCTTGTTTGCTATATATATTTCGGCCATAGGCCTTGTAAAATAGCGGATTGTATTTCCCATTTCAGTAGCAATACACTTGTGTGTGTTCTATTTTAAATTCCTATTTCTATATCTTAAGAGTGGTTATCTTAAGTGTGAGTTTTAGGTTCTAGATATTTGATTAAGTGTGTCATATCTTAATTAAATTCTAGATTCAAACCCCAAGTTAGAATAAGAGTGTGTAATATCTCTTAAATACCAACTTGGTTTATCCATCCCTGATTTTTTTCCATTTCATACCTCCCCATATTCTCTTCCTAAACCTCTTCTTTTTCTTCATAAAAAAACACCAAAAAGAACTCCAAAAACACCTCCCATATTTCGCCCCATATACTTTTGTGTTCATTTCCTCCACAAATTCACACAAAATTAGCAACTTGATAAGACCCCCGTTTCACCCCTAACATTTGGTATCAAAGCTCAGCTTCGAGGCTTTCTTAAGTCTCGACGATAACCTTGAGGACCGGCTTCGCAAACACTGCCCAAAAGAACGTTGCTGAAATTTCTTCCCCAGAAACTTTCAGTTCCATGGCGTTGAGCACGGAGGATGATACACGACGTATTTGAAGATGAATCTTTCCAGTTCAGTAGTTTAACCTTTTATCTACGTCTGGCCGCTGATTTCACTCAATTCCGAGTTACGGTTTGAGAGATACGCCCTCCCGAAGTTGATAACACAGTCCTGGCCGGATTCTGTCTACCCTGCTGAGTTTGTCTCCAAAAAGGTAGAAAACATTTTTCAATGGCTCTGAAAATTTGATATGTCTTTAAAGACTTCAATATCTAACTCCGGGAATTGGAATTACATCTTTCCAATATCTGGTTGTTGAGATATGGATGTCCAAAGATACCTCAAAAATCTGGAGATCATCTACGCCAATGAGGTTATATTGCAAGGGCAACTCAACGGTGCTACAAGTGTTGTGGCTATGGTCATATCTACTGGAGATGTCCAAATGAACATGCCGTACCGTATGAAGAATGGGCCAAGATTAATGAAGAAGCTTCACGTGCAGATGTTTTGATTGAAGAAATAATTTGTGAAGAGGAAAAGAAAAGCTTCAACGACCAGCTTGTCATTGTTGAAGACGTCTCTGATTTTCAAGTCAAAGATGAAAATGACGTCTTCGTTGAAGAACCAGATTCCGAGGTTCAGAATGAAGGAAGGTGAAAAGATCGATGACATGTTCGATCGGTTCTCAAAGATCATCAACGACCTTCATGCACTCAAGAAGACTTACGCCAACAAGGATCTTGTGAGAAAAATCCTGCGGAGTCTCACTCCTGAATGGAGATCAAAGGCTGACGCAATCTACGAATCCATCGGAGTCTCCAACGTCACCATCGACGGGTTAAGAGGTAACCTCAAAACTTATGAATCTACCATTCTAACCCCGTCTTTGGATGAACAAAAGAAGAAGGGAATAGCACTAAAAGCAACCAAAGAGACCGTGGAAGATGACTCAAGCGATGATGACAACGAGTTCGGACTCGTCATCAAGAAATTCCACAAATTTATGAAGAAGGAATTTGAGCACAAAGGAAGAAAGCACGACGGTCCCCCGAAGTGCTATGGGTGTGGCGAGATAGGCCACATCAAGCCGAGGTGTCCAAAAGGCAAAAGCGGCAAGGACAAACCTGGCATCAAAAAGCAATGTGCCTATATCTCGTGGGGTGGTGACTCTGGCGACGAGTCAACTGATCAAGAAGAGGAGGAAGCCGCCAACAGCTGCCTCATGGCACACGAAGACCACGTCGACGAAATACAAGAGGTATGTACCCCTTCTTCCGACTCTTACACTCTTGAAGAGATGCAAGAAGCTCTTCGAGAACTTTATGATGATATTGTTAGCGCTTCTAAAACCAACAAATCACTAAAGAAACGTCTTTCAACTCTTGAAAATGATTTTGAAAAACTGGAAAAAGATAATGAATAGTTGAAACAAGAAAATAAATTTTATGGTAAAAGAAGCGCCGACAAACCAGAAAGTTCTTCAAGTGAATGTGAATCTTGCAAAACTTTAAAAGAGAAGGTTGCAAAACTTGAGAGTACGGTTAAGAAGTTTAATACACCACACAAAGATCTCAATTTACTTCTAGACACTATGCATTTTTCTAAGGAAGGAATAGGCTTTGATAAAAATGAATCTAAGGATAAAAACGTTGAGCAAACACCTAGACAACCTCCTAAGGCTCAACATAAAAAGTTAAAAATCAGGATAATAGAAAATCTAGTCAACCTAGGGACACTAGACAACCTAGACAAAAACCTAGGAATGAAAATATGCATGCTAGACAACCTAGGAAAAATCATCAAAATGATTTTGTGCATAAAAATAATTTTTCAAATAGACAAAATAATTCTAGAACATCTAGAAGGGAAAATTTTCAAAAACCAATGTTTTCACAAAACAGGATGAATATGGTTAGACCCCCTAGTAACTACTACCAACCTAGGAGGATGCACAACCCAAACGTAGTTTGCCATTATTGCAATAGGGTAGGACATATAGCTCCCGTTTGTTTTACTAGGCATAGGCATTGGGCACAAAATGAATCACACTACCACTTTGCACCTAACACTCAAGGACCAAAAAATACTTGGGTACCTAAATCTTATTAAATCATCTTTGTAGGTATGCTTGGAGGCGTCAAGCGTACTTTGGTACCTTGATAGCGGATGTTCCAAGCACATGACCGGAGATGCATCCAAGTTCCTACAAATCAAACCCGCTAAAGGAGGAAACGTAGTCTTTGGAGACAATAGCAAAGGAAAAATAATTGGCATCGGCTCAGTAGGTAAGTCCGAAGACTCCTCTATATATATATATATATATATATATATATATATATATATATATATATATATATGTATGTATGTATGTATGTATATATATATATATATATATGGATTGGGGGATGACATGTTTCAGTCAGATGAGACTTTCGGTCAGATGACAACGAATGCTCATTCTGAATCAATGTAGCGCTCATTCTTAAACAACATAGGATTCATTCTCACACAACTGTTCATCACAATGTAGTGTTCATTCATAGCCAGCGAGACGACAACATAGGGTTCATTTTGAATCCACGTAGTGTTCATTCTAAGACATCATAGGGTTGACTTTCACACATTTGTTCATTATAAACGTAGTACTCATTCTGAAACAACCTAGTACTCATTCACAGTCTGCTCAGTGTAGTGTTCATTCTGAAATAAGGTGGCGCTCATTCTCAAACAAGGTGGTGCTCATTCTGTAGCATGTCATCTGACCGAAAGATGTCATCTGACTGAGTCAATCCCATAATTAATGTAGTGTGTAATCTAAAGAATGCAATATTTACCTATAAAACATGTAGATGCATTGTGATAGAGAATGCACTATGAAAGTCTATATATACATTGTGATTTATTATTTAACTTTAGTTTTAACTTTATTCTATTAAATTGTAGATCATTCAATAATGACTCCTGAGTTATTTTGTATGTGATGAGAAAGCTTGAGAATGCATTGTATTCGGAACAAGTATAATATAAATTTGAAAAATTGTTTGCCTATGCAGGATTCGAACCCACATCCGTAGTACATACTGCTCTACCATTTGAGCTAATAGGCAATATTTTTTTGAAAGGGAATTCAAAGTTGCACTTGGACCTATTAAATACCCTTTTTTGTTTTGAAATTAGCATCATATATTCAAAGTACTTCTAAGTCATATTTTAAAATATCATAGAGCATTTTAAATATATCATTGTTTGCAGAAAATTTACTTTGCACAAGATACAGATGCATTATGTTTGTGTCAAGAGAATTTCACCATCAGATGCATCAATTTTGACTCTGGTCGAGAATGCACAACAACAGAATGCGATATGCTTTATCTTAATGCTGAGAATGTATTATGTTCTCATATAAATGCATTACCTTAATTCTAAATAATACACAATAAAAAAATAAACAAAAAGTAAAAAAGAAGAAACAAAATAAAAGCATAATGTATGCCCTATTGAAGACCAAGTTGTCCACAAAAATTGTAAAGGCCAATAATTTCCAGCTATATAACAAGTAAAACCAAATAAAAAGTTAAAAAGAAATAAAATAAAAGCAACAATGTGTAGTATATAATTTCCAAAAGGTCCAGTGAATATGCAGAATAAATTATAGTGTGTGGTGGTATATGCATAACAGAGAACAAACAATGCACCAAACTCTAGAGTACGATGCATACAAAAGAATATAAGGCCAACATGATTTATCACCAAAATTTTGTGGAAAAGAACAACATGAAAAATATACAAAAAATTGGAGTACTCCCTATTAAACATAAAACATAAATCAAACTTATTTGAAACTCTTATAAATAAATATGAATTGAAAATAGCACCAGATTCGAGCATGTTGTATGCTTTTAGTGATTGCATTAGAATGTGGTTGGGAATGAATAAAGATGGACCTTGCATTAGCATTTACAATCTGAAAAGGAATATTTCAGAATATATGCATCTGCCTGACCCAAAAAAAGAAGCATAACCCAAATACCTAATGCAATCCCTAGAATTCATAATTTATGGGAATTTTCAAATAGCAGCAACACAAAAAATCTTGAAAGATTTGAGAAAAATTAAATACAAAAATTATTAAAATGCATAACACAACAAATATGAATAGAAAAAAATACATAATCTAAAATGTCCACACATATAAAAGAACTAAAACCAGCAATGCATGGAATTACAAAGCTATGAATTAATGAGTAGAAAAATAGAGATTCGGATTTCATAAAATTACAAACAATTGAAACTTTATGAACACAAAAATACGGAGTATATTCACAAATAAAACAGAGATTTGATGCAAAATTATTAAATTTTTAAAAACAAAAAAATTGTACCCGAATTCAAACTTGTATTCCTCCAAGATTTGATGTATGAACCCTAGAAATGTAAGAAATCTCTCTGATCAGCAGTTAGGCTAGATCTGTTCATGGCATAGGCCTTTTGTTCACCTCTGGCGTAGCAAAACGATTCCCTGGCATAATTGAGAGAGAGAGAGAGAGAATCAAGGCATAGCTACTTTTGAGGAGATCAACGCATGAAAAAAGGATATAGAAACGGAAAGTTTATGGAAAATACAAAAATGCCCATATTAATTGTCTAATATAGCAGGCCTGAGTTGCTCCATCCAAAGGTCTAGAGTTTCTTTCGTAAGATCTTATTCTCACCAGAACCAAAATCTATATATATATATATATATATATATATATATATATGTATATATATATATATATATATATATTGTTAGAATAATAGACCAACGCTAGAGGGGGGTGAATAGCGTTTGATCGGAGAAATCGCAGGAATTAAAAAATTAAAAGAGAAGTAAAGAGAAGAGTAAAAGGCACACCGAATTTTACCCTGGTTCACCACAACTTGTGGCTAATCCAGCCTCCCGAGAGACTCTCTCGAGCTACACTACTATCTCGTTAAGCTTGCGGGTGTGTGTGTGTGTGTGTGTGTGTGTGTGTGTGTGTGTATATATTCCGGTGAGATGACACCTTATAGTAAGTTGACATGTTTCAGTCAGATGACGCTAGAGCTCACCACTGATCACTGCAAAGCTCACCATTGATCACTGCAAAGCTCACCACTGTCCACTGCAAAGCTCACCATGATTTTCCAACACTTTACTTTTTTTTTTCAAAATTTGATGGTTAAATGCTTACAAAGCCCAGCAACAAAGCTCACTGATTATCACTGCAAAGCTCACCGAATATGTGCACAAAGCTCACCACACTTTAAAGTTTAAAATGATTTCAAAAAAAAAAAACAAAGGGCGGTGGTGCTGACTTCCAACCGCTACAGACTACCGCCATGGACCGGTGGTTGACTGGTGGTGCAATTTTATTAGCTTTTTTTTTAAAAAAAAAATGGTGAGCTTTGCATTGTTCCTTAGTGAGCTTTCCATTGACAGTTGGTGAGCTTTGCATTGATAGTTGGTGAGCTTTACACTTTGACCGCCCATGACCAATGGCCACCACCGATGACCCCCACTGTTG